CTCGCAGTCTAGGCGGCCGGTGTGCCTATGGAACACGTGATCAATCAGAGTGCAAGAAGTCTCGCCGATTCTCGTTGGTTGGTTCTCATTGAGAGCGATGAATCCACCCTGGGCGAGGCCGTCCAAGTACCGCTCCGCATGAACGTCTGTTCCCAGGAGACATATATTCATGTCGCCCATGATCAAACACTCAGCATCTCTGCTGAACGAAGTCATTATTTGATGCATTGAGGTTGTGCTGAAGATGTCGATGTCAGAAACCGAGGGCGTTGGTGATCTGTATATCGCTGCTATCTGGATCTTGATGTCCCCAAGAGTTATCTGAATCATCAGGCTATCACAGTCCGAGACCGCGTTCAGCTCCATTCCACAGCTCGGCAATCTTTCACTGACGAAGATCGCCACCCCTCCCGCTCTATATCGATCATTCGACGAGTAGTAGGCTGTAAAACCAGGTACATTACACACATCCTCAATCTCCGAGTACAGCCAGGTTTCGGTCAGAACAATGATTTTGAATTCCCTCATCAAACAACAAGGCAAGGTATCTGTCAAGGTTTTTGTTCATACTTCTGATATTTAACATATGGATTTTAAGTATATCACCAGCGGATTTTGTGTTGCCCCCCGAGCAACCCTCACGCAGCCAGGCATCGAGATTCATATTCGTCTCAGTAACAGATGTGATTAGGACTCTTATATTAGATCTTACTTGTGCGTGCCTTACATTTTACGCGCTGATTGGCACGGTTTTACAGAGGATGACGTCATGGGAGCGCGCTTGTAAGGGAGGAGGTATCTACTTGAGTTTTTCTAGGTCTTGTTCGCTCTGGATCCAAATGGCTTTCTCACCCTCCGTTTTCTTCATTAAGAGCTTGCCTGACGGGCCTATCCAGCAGAATTTGTAACTCAATGCTTCTTGTTTTCTCTTAGCCAGCCAGCGTAGGGCCTTTAGTTCCTGGGGGATAAGCTTGAAGACGTTGATCACGACGTTCGCAGCCCGAGAGCATGTTCGTTTTGCCATTAGCTTTCCGTTTTCCTTCCTGAATTTAGCAACACCCTCAGTGAACCGATCACTTGCTCTCTGGCCGCTGAATTCGACGATTATGTCTTGGCACTGGTTTCCGTCACAGGTTTTCACTTTCCCCGTTCGGTAAGCCGCAATAAGGTCATCTTCCGAGATGGAGATGTTCGTCTTATTGGCAATCCTGAGCACTATCTCTCTCGGGGTCGGCGACGTGGTCTTGCCGTCCGCTTTAATTACCGGGAAGTCCACGATTTCAGCGAAATTTCTCTTGAGTTGTGTTTCCATGAGAAGCAGTCTGGATTTCAAACGGGTACATTCATCTTTGGATTCATCGACCACGTTCTTGATTTCGGCTTCAAATACACTCAGCTTCTGCTGGATATAGGATTCAACCCTCTTGAGCAGTCTGGCCTCGAGTGCGCAGTTTTCTTCTCTGAGTATCTTCTGTAGCTGCTTAAGTTGGTTGTCCGAGAACTCAACCCCCATTTTTCCACTGGGGAACGCACGAAAAACTCAAAAAATCACGACTGAGATCGAACACGTGTTTACTCTCCAATGGATGGATGCATTCCTGCCTGGAAATTCTCTGAGGAGCATTCGTCGCACGGCGGAAAAGAGACCGGAGACAACGAGAAGAGGAAGAACGCTCCTGGAAGCCGAGCGACTGTTTCATTCGGTACACTGAAGCGGTCCGAGCTGCGTGCCCCTCCATTCCCCGGGAACTCTGTTGCTGATTTTTGTGATTTTCCCTCAAACGTGAATCCTCCACCTGTGTCACACTGAGCGTGATCATGATCGGAAGGAAGACCAGAACCGTTTTGACCCTCGAGCAGAAAGAAGAAATCCTCCAATCGCTTGAAGGAGGCAAGACTCAAGCTTCTCTGGCCGAGAGATACGGGGTCGACAGGAGCACAATATCCAACATCGAGAAGAATGCTTCGAAAATCAAAGAATTTCGACCAGTCTATGACAGAACAAGGAGCATCAACGAGCGTCAAGGTGATGAAAACCGCGAAAGACGAAATGCTCGAAGCGGCTTTGTACAAGTGGTTTGTACAGAAGCGTACCCTTGGGTTTCCTCTTTCTGGCTTCATCATTTGCCAGAAAGCTCTGGAGCTCAGTCAGAAGCTTGGAGGGGACCTTGAGTTCAAAGCAAGTCAAGGTTGGTTGGGAAAGTTCAAGAACCGCCATGGGATCCGAGAATTGGAAGTCCAAGGTGAGAGGATGTCCTCCGACGTGGAAGCTGCTGAAAGATTTGTGTCCGAATTCAATGGTCTCCTGCACGACGGAGCTTTCGATCCCGATTTCATCTACAACGCGGATGAAACACGACTCTTTTATAAGGCCTTGCCCAGCAGATCATTGGCAGCTCGGAATGAAAGGACGGCTCCAGGGCACAAAAGTAGCAAAGAACGAGTCACCGCGATGGTGTGCGCTAATGCCACAGGTCGTCACAAGATCTCGACGTTCATCATTGGTAAATCACGGAACTGTTGAAATACAGAATACTAATTACTACTGTTTTCTGTAGTGTAGCTGTAACATTCTCAGTATGATTACTGAAAGCATCTAGGGAAAGTTCTGTAACCGGAAAGACCCTGATCTGAAGGACTTCCGCCTTCAGCTCAGTGTTCATGGATAACCCTGAAAGACTTCCGTCTTCCGGGTTGATACTCACAAGTGATACTCTCCACCCGAGTATATATACTGGTAATAAAGACTCACACGACGAGGAGTTATTAAGGGTTCACACCGAATCCCTGTTTCTTTATTGTGCCGTGATCTTCCAGCCTCACAGCCTCTTTCAGATCCAGAGTCTACCGACTGACCACCAGTGGGTTAAATCCAACATTCGTTATCAGCACGATCAACTCTGTGGATATTTGTGATCAGATTCGAGTATTGTGAGACTTTCTTTGTGAGTGACTCGTTTGTGTTCTTAGTGAAATAACGGTGCATCCTCGAGAAGTGCAAATGGCATCTCGAGACAAACAACGAGCACAGGAAGATTCCGCTAGCTCCCACGGCTACAGTGACTTAGGCGATGACCAGCCCGGGCCATCAGCGCTAAGCTTAGGCGATACTAAACCACAGAAGGGTGATGACGGCACGGGAGACATCGGCGAGCTCCAGATTGCAACTCGAGCTCGCAGCCGTGACATTGTGATCCTGAGACTTGACGGGAGCAACTACACGGAGTGGCGTGTGCTCATCGCACCAGCTCTAGATGCAGACCCATATGCACTAGATGTGGCGATGGGAGACCTCATCCCCCCTACCCCAGGATCAAAGGACAAGGCTTCTGTGATCCAGCAGCGGAAATACGATGCAGGTAACCGGGCGGCTCGATGTACGCTTTTCGCGTCACTACAGCCTGCTCTGGCTGTATCCATGTTTCCCGGCAATTCGGCGACGGTGGCTGCCTCTGAGATGTGGAGAGACATTACCGGTTGGTTCACCGCCACTAACGGTGGGCTTAAACGACTGGCGATGTCCAAACTCACGAGCTACGCCTACCAGCCGAATAAAACCGCCGGCGAAAATCTCTTCCGCTTCAACCAGATCATTTCCCGTCTAGCTGGTCTAGGAATGGACATCCCAAATGATCTGAAAATAACATTTCTGCTGGACGCTCTCCCATCAAACTGGGAGTCCTTCGAGCAAGGATTCACCTCAAGGGATGAATCTAGCAAGTCCTACTTCCACCTGCAGGCTGGGATTGAGAGTGAGGCTCTGAGGCAGGGGAAGTTCGAAACGAACAATGCCCCCAGTCCTGGATGGGGGACCCTACTGTTGGGAAGTAGTGAGCGGAGCACTGGGACCCCCGGATGCAACCAAGGCGAAGACAGCTGAGGGGAAGAATCAGCAGAAGAACTTCATCATCGGAAATAAGGCCGGAAGGTACATACTGTTCAATTCAATACATCCAAACTTAGCAACTGAACTCTTCAGTGAGAATTCGGACACCGTTGAAGCCTCAGAAATTTGGCGATTGATCAAAGGAAAATTCACAAGTACTAACGGCGTGTTCAAAGAAGACGCCATGTCCGACCTCACAAACTTCACCTACCTCCAATCCCAGTCAACATTAGAGAATCTTCTGAGATTCAAGACGATCATCGCCAGGCTCACATCGTACGGGGTGAAGCTTGGCGAGGATTATCAATGTGCACGTCTGCTGAGTTCACTTCCAGGAAGTTGGGAACAACTAAAGCAAGGCTGGACAGTCCGTCCAGAGAATCAGCAGACCCTGTCGCAGTTGATCAAGTCGATCGAGATCCAGGCCAAGAGACAAGTTCGAGAAAGCGGTCAGGATGTGACTGCAATGTTCTCCAGAATGAGTTTTGGCAGAGGCCGCCCCCGGGGAAGATCAAGCCGATTCTCATGGTCAAGAAGAACAACGAACCAGAGCTCATCGGAAGTCATCTGCTATCGATGCAATCAAAGAGGCCATGTTCAGAGAGACTGCCGCGTATCCATCGGAGCAAGCCAACAGTTCAATGCAAGAGGCCGAGGACGACCACATGGCCGAGGCCGTCAGGCTCGGAGGTTCGAGGACAATCAGGTCCACTGGTTCTGGTTCCGTGCACATGACCGTCAACCAAAACGGCACGGTCTGTGCACTACACCTTACCGAGGTGATTCTGGTCCCGAAACTCCGCCATAACCTGATTTCTGTAGCCAAGCCACTTGATGAGGACTGTGGCGTCCAAGTGACCCAAGAAGCCATCATCATTGAAAACGATCCTGAGCAAATCTCGGCTCGGAGAACCAACGGAGTCTTCATCATCCATGCTGATTCGCCAACAGCCCAAGGATGCACGGCAAGCGCCAAAAAGCAGGTCAGCCTCTCTCAAGCTCATCGTACATTTGCGCATATAAATGCTGCTCCTCGTCCGGGGCTTGCTGAACGCTCTCGCTCTCATCTTTCCAGCTCGAATCCGCATTATCTTCTATTCGTGACCGGTGCTTCACCTGAAACTACGGCGGCTGACCTTCTGGCGCATTGCGAGCGCTTCTCGGATCAAGTCATATCAGTTTCCAAATTCAAACAGCGTGAGAACCAGAATCATGCTTCTTTCGTCGTCAGTGTGCCTAGGGAATCTGCTGACACTTTCTACTCCAAGGCGAACTGGCCTGTTAACATCTGCTTCAAGCCTTTCGCGGGTGTGATTCTACGGGACCGGTTGTCGGAGACGTTGTCACCGACTTGTACCTCGATGCCCGAGGGGCCTGATGTTTCTCGAGTGATGCCTGTCGTCCGGGTGAATTCGGCTGGACCCGATCCTCTGGTGGATCACGTCGGATCTCTTCCTCCAAACACCCTGAGAGACCCCGGTTTGGCTGTGCCGACTCCGGTTTCGCAGACCAATGACTCCTGACTACCTTCAGGGAACCCCCCACTCAACATCATCCACATCAACTCCCGCTCTCTCAAGAGGGTCTACAAGTTTGATCTGTTAATTGCTAGGTTTGCGCAATCTTTCGATATCATCTGTTGCACAGAGACTTGGTTCTCACTGCTTGAAGCCCCTGTTTATCAGATTGACGGCTTTGTTCACTATTTTACTTGCAGACAGACCCCTTATGCAGGAGTCTCGGTTTTCGTTAAAAACTCTGTTAAAGTTACCGGCTGGGAGGGGGTGCAGACTGACGATGAATCTGTACAGGCGGTATTCGTCAATATAGGTTGCGGTGCTGAGTCCGTTCTCCTGGCTGCTCTGTACTCTAGTCATGTCGCGCATGCAGATCGTCTTGTCGATCTCCTCGGTCATAAACTCTCTCTAGCTTCGTCTCCACCCTCGGTCCTCGTCATTGGGGATCTGAATGTTGATCTTCTTTCTCCGCTCCCGCCAACTTCGAGTTTCTGTTCACGTATGAGTGAACTGGACCTGGCTCCTCTGCACAGCTGCGTCACCAGGCCGGCTTCTGGATCTTGTCTGGATCATGTCTGGATTTCAGGTGACTGTTTGCGCGATGTTGAGGTCTCTGTCTCTGATTGTCTGGAATTCTCGGATCACCTCCCGGTGGTGGCGCGGTTCTCTTTCTCTTACCCTGTCCTCCCCTCTCTGAGTCTCCATCCGATGAGACGTATTTTCAGTGACAAAAACTACTCTCGTTTCCACATTGCCCTGTCTGCTGTCGATTGGAGTCGGCTCTACGGGTGCAATGATGTTAACCTTGCTCTGGGCCTTTTTGACACCGTGCTCTATGATATCTACAACTCTGCATTTCCCAGAGTCCCCAGTATCGTTCGAGCTGGTGACAAGCCCTGGTACCTACTCCAAATCTCTCCACTTCTTGCGGGAGTCCCTGCGGGCTTATGGTCGAAGCTTCTTCGGGCATGGTGTCCTTAGGGACAAGAAAAAATTCTACTCCTGCCTTAGACGTTACAGGAAGCTAATCTCTATAGCTCGCTCAAGATACACGTCGGTTCTCGTTTCTAGAGTTGGCCGCTCCAGCGGCAAACTTTGGAAGTTGATCAACTCATCCTGCGGCAGATCTCATGCTCGCTCTTCGTCCTCATTTCTCTCACAGGGTTCTCGTTCCGAGGTCAGGGACAACCTGGACAGATTCGCTAAGTACTTCTCCGAGGTCGGAAAAAATGCTTTTCCCTCTGGCTCCCCGTTTGACGGGACGAGTCCGCCCCGTGATCCTGTTGACCGTTGTCACTCGGGCTCTCAGTTCTCCCTACGCTCTGTGGACCCTTATTCGCTTCCGGACGTGGTTGCCGGCATGAAGGTCTCTTACGGGAAATCGCTGTCCTCGGTCCCATCTAAGGTCATTGCTGTGTCTTTGTCCCTCCTGGCCGTCCCTGTTGCCTTCATATTCAATCTCTCGATAAGACACTCAGTCTATCCTTCTGCCTTTAGGAAGTCTACTACCGTCCCAATCTACAAGGGAAAGGGAGATGTGAGCGAACCTGGCCATTACCGGCCAATTAGCCTTTCGCCATTCTTGTCCAAGCTTTTTGAGAGATGTATTCTACTTCAGTTGCGGGCGTGTCTACTCCATTCGAGGCAGCTATCGCCGTGTCAACACGGCTTCTCACCGGAAAGGTCCACTGAAAGTGCACTGTTGCAGATCAAGCAATTCGTCACTGATTCGTGGAACTGCCGACGTTATGTAGTGGCGCTCTTCCTTGATCTATCCAAGGCATTTGACTCTCTTGACCATGATACGCTCATCGGATTACTCTCGTCGCTAGGCCTTGACTCCCCTACTTGTAAATGGTTTTCGTCCTACCTCCGACCTCGCAGTATCAGAGTCTGTGCATCAGGTTCGGAGTCTGAGCCCTACTCTATCGATTTCGGTGTTCCCCAAGGTTCCGTTTTGGGCCCTCTCCTGTTTGTGACGTACATCAACGTCCTGCTGAACCGAATCAATTCCCTCTCTCCCTATCTTAAACTTGTCTCATTCGCGGACGATTCGACGATCCTTTACAGTGTCGATCGTGATGAATTAGACGCAGGCATCAGGGCTTTCAATCCAGTACTGGAAGAGGTCCAGTCGACATTCCGCTCTTTACGTCTGGTCATCAATGCTTCTAAAACGAAGCTACTTCTGTTCCGGCCCAGGGCTCCGCGACCCGCGAGGCTTCAGGTCGAAGTCGTACTAGATGGGAGCCCCCTTCCTCTGTCCAGACAGGCTACCTGCTTGGGAGTCGTCCTCAATGACTCCTTGTCGTGGGGTGATCAAGTCTCTGCTCTCCAAGGGAAGCTTGCTAGTTTCTCGTAT